TTCCTTCGGTCTCTGTGCGGAGAGGACCTCGATTGGAACGCGACCGAGAAAGGGTTCATGCATTTTTTTCGCTTTTGGAAAATGTGCGTTCTCTGGCTCCAAAAAGTGTTAGAAAAAAGTGCCCGCTCGGGCAGTGGGGCCAGACAGACGGTTTCCGCGCGCGCGGCGTTTGCCTGGCGCAGAAGGGCGCGGGCACGCCGCGGCAGTGCTTGGAGAGCGGTCTCCGGAAAGGACGCGATCGGTTCCGCGCGCCTCAGCGCCGTTCGACGAGGTTGACTGCGCGTCGATGTGTGGATTGCCCGGAGTTGCGGGAGTGCGACGCGCCCGGCGCGCGGAAATGCGATGGGTCGTTCGCGGCAGAAGCCGGGCGCGCGCAGGCAACGCGCGGCGCAAAGGGGGCATGCGCCAGGAATGCGAAGAGCTGAAACGTCACCAGATGGGCCCCCGCTGTGGCGGGGACAGATTGACGGGCGACCTCCGACGAGCGGAGTGGAATCACGGCGAGCGGCTATGCGCGAAGTGCCGGGAGGCAGCGATTGAGGGGGCGGCGAGGTCCCGAGAAAGGGGGGATTCGTGGCGCGGCGGGCGCGACGTCGAGAAATCCAAGATGGGGTTCTCCACTCTCGCGCAGTCGAGAATTGCGTCGGCGAGCTAGACGTGCGGACGTGGCGTAGAAAGTCACGTGGATGAAATGACCGCGGCGGCGAAGTCCGCGCGGGCGGGCGTGAAATGGCGCGTCGGCCGCTTGGGGGGGCAAGCCTGATAGTGGTTTTCACCGTGGGCGTGGGTCGCGAGCCGCCAGCGCACGCGCGGCGAGCGCGAAGTCGGCGACAGGGTGGCGCGCGACCCGCGGAAATGCATCGGGCGCGAAGAACCCTTGCGATTGGCGCAGAAGCCGAGCGGCAAGCGGCGCTGCAATTCGAATTCTGCAAGCGAGCGGAAGGCAGGAGCGCGGGCCCCACACATCCTGACGTTTTTTTTTTTCATGCCGGCCTATTGTCTTGGTTTTTCTGCATTGTCTTGGTTTTTGGTGTAGAACTTGATATGTCTTGGTTTTTCTGTAGGATCTTAGAAAGAAGATAGCGAACATGTTATGATAATGTACAGCATCGTATCATATCATGTTGACGGCCACAAACCACATGAACACTGTTTCGTCGTTTCACATATTTCCTCATGTTGAAGCAAGCAATGCAATTGATACGGGTGCAATTCTACAGAATCTACACTGTTGCACGATATGATTAATGGTATGTGGAGGCGCAACATACAAGTGTAACGATTTGTTTTTTCCACCATTCAGCTTTTAGGCCGCCCACCCGCGAAGTAGTAAACATTATTGTTTCACCATATATTGAGGCCCAGGATACAAGTGAAACGCTTGGTTTTCACCAGTGACACGTGTCACACGTGCTTGCGTAATATGAAAACGCCCACAATTCAAGTGAAACAAATGGAGTGTACCATTTTCGGGGTGACGCGTGTCAGCCCTGTGTTTGCGCAAGAAGACTGCGATGCTACACCATACTGAATCACATGTTGAGGCGTAGAATACAAGTGGAACATTTGGTTTTCAACATTGAGTTTTCGGGGTGGCGTGTAGCAACATTATGAATGCTCGAGCGGCCACGGCGGTTCCAACGCTGGGAGTTGTGACGCAGATCACCACCACAAGTACAGATATATGAAATACACATATCGCACACAGGTGCAATCTGCACACACGTCTATATATATATATATATATCTATATTACCTACATAAATGTATAAATAATTCATGGCCGATCCACACAAACGAATTACATGATATTGGACAGTGTTACATCACATACAGTATAATTGACTACTCTAATATAGTAAATGATGGTATCATACCTAATATATGATAGCATATGCTGTCGTGCATCATATTGTATTATGTATGCACACGTACATGCCCTGCACGTGCGCGGGACCGTCGGCTCCCAAGGGGATCGGCTGGGACTGCGCGCGGGAGCGTCGGCCCGCGGTCGGCTGGACCTGCGCGCGGGACCGTCGGTCCCCAGGGGGTCGGCTGGGACTGCGCGCGGGGCCGTCGGCAGGCAGTCGGCTTCCCAGGGGGTCGGCTGGGACTGCGCGCGAGACAGTCGATCCCCAGGGGGTCGGCTGGAACTGCGCGCGGGACCGTCGGTTCTTAACGGGGTAGGCGTCTCGGGAGGGGTGTCTTGCGTCCACAAAGTAGCAAGTGAGAGGTCCAGTCTCGGGCGGGCGTCTCGGGAGGGGTGTCTTGCCTCCAGAAGGGTAGCCAGTCAGGAGTCCAGTCTCGGGGGGGGTGTCTTGGGAGGGGTGTCTTGCCTAGGGTAGCCCGTAAGAGGTCCAGTCTCGGGCGGGCGTCTCGGGAGGGGTGTCTTGCCTCCACAATGGTAGCCACTAAGAGGTCCTGTCTCGGGGGGGTGTCTTGGGAGGGGCTTCTTGTCTCCACAAGGGTAGCCCGTAAGAGGTCCAGTCTCGGGCGGGCGTCTCGGGAGGGGTGTCTTGCCTCCACAATGGTAGCCACTAAGAGGTCCTGTCTCGGGGGGGTGTCTTGGGAGGGGCTTCTTGTCTCCACAAGGGTAGCCCGTAAGAGGTCCAGTCTCGGGCGGGCGTCTCGGGAGGGGTGTCTGTAAAAAGTCCAGTCTCGGGCGGGCGTCTTGGGAGGGGCTTCTTGTCTCCACAAGGGTAGCCCGTAAGAGGTCCAGTCTCGGGCGGGCGTCTCGGGGACGTCTACTGCGCGCGGGACCGCCGGTTCGAGGCTCGAGCGCCGCCGATCGAGCGCGCGCGCTGATCAGGGGCGCCGTCGGCGCTCGAGCGCGCCGCCATGCAGAGCCCCGCCAGCAGCCGCGGCGAGGAGGCCCTTCCCTCCAGCATCCTCCTCCTTCTCCTGCTTCCTTCCTCTCCCCGTCCTCCTCCTCCTCCTCCTCCTCCTCCTCCTCCTCCTCCCGTGTCCTATGATCATGCATTTCGCACGTCCTTTCTGTTTCGGCCCTGCCCCCTCATTCTCGCTTCCTTCCCTTCCCCTCATCCATCTTCCTCCTGCATCCTCTCTTCCCTGCTCTTCCCTCGTCCTCCCTCACCCCTCTTGCGTCTTCCTCCACCTCCTCCTGCTTCTCCTCCTCCTCCTCCTCGATCCTCATCCTCATCCTTCCCAGACATCGGGCGTCTCGAAAAAAATCGAGACAACGGTGTTTCATAGTTTTTGGCCTCTCGGGGCCCTCGCCGCGGGGCCGTCAAAAAACGACTCGGGTTGAGAAAAAAAGAGGTCCCAGGGAAGTGGTCGGGTCGGGGGCCCGCGTCCCGAAAAAAAACGAGACGTCGGATGTCTGGGTTTTCTTCTCGTCGTCCTCGTCTTCACCGCCCCCATCGGCATCCGACGAGAAGCGCAGCACATTCAGACGCCTGAGCACCGCAGGGGTCGACGCTATAGAGTTGGCGAAGGCGCAACCAGGAGGAGGAGGAGGAAGAGGAGGAGGAGGAGGAGGAGGAGGAGGACGAGAACACGGAGTTTGAGGAGGGAGAGGAGGAGGAGCAGGGGGAGGAGGAGGAGGAGGAGGAGGAGGAGGAGGAGGAGGAGGAGGAGGGAGGAGGAGGAGGAGGAGGAGGAGGAGGAGGAGGAGGAGGGACCCTGGGCGCCGTCAGGCGCTGGAGAGACGCGACGGTGAGCCAGTGTTCACGAACACGCAGATCCCAGATTACACAACGTACAGCGCCAAAATGACGAGCAGGCCGAACAAAGCAGACTTGCAGGCATCCTCGTCGTCGGGCCTCGTCCTCCTCTACTGCCTCGTCCGCCTCGTCTCCTCGCCCCCTCGAGGGCGATCGAAGCAGGGACATTAAGGTCCCTGGTTCGATGTAAAAGGGTTTGGAGGGGAGGGGCCTGAGGGGGCGAGGCGGACCGAGGAGAACGAGGCAGACGACGAAGATGCCTGGACAGGCGTGGTACCCACTGGCAGAGGAGCTGCAGATCCTTGGCGACGGGAGGCTATTCCCCCAGAAGACGGTGGAGGCACCAGTGGGAGGATCGAGGAACGAGGATTACGAAGAGGACAACAGATGAGGATCGACGAAACAGATGAGAGGAGGATGAGCAGGATGCTAAATACAGGTGCGGATGAGGACGTGGGGAGGATGAGGATGAGGATGGTGCTGTTGCTGTTGATGATGATAACGCTGCTGATGTTGATGATGATGCTGATGCTGATGCTGATGATGTTGCTGGTAGTGATGATGATGACGACTCTGAGGATGGTAATGGTAGTGCTAATGATGATGACGATGATGATGATGGTGAGTATGCTGGCAATGATGTTGATGTTGTTGATGATCCTGATGATGCTGTTGCTGTTGCTGATGATGCTGATGACGACGGTGATGATGATGCTGCTGCTGCTGATGATGATGATGATGATGCGACGGAGGAGGAAGAGGATGAGGAGAAGGGGGTGATGATGGGGAGGAGGAGGAGGAGGAGGAGGACATTCCCCTCCTGGTGCAAGTAGGCTGCGTGGCAGCACGTCTACCGCGAGGCGTTCAGCGAGAAGTTGCGACAGGACGACCCCAGGAAGCGCAAACCCTCCAACAACGTGATAGATGCACACAGGTTCAGACCATGATTAATCGTCCCCTCTTGATCCGTCTTCTCATCCTCATGGATCCTCACCTCTTCCCTCCTCTCCTCCACCTCGACCTCGTCCTCTTCCTCGTCCTCGACCTTATCCTCGTCTCCCTTCTCGTGGTCGGTCTACTTCTGCCTGATCCTGCTCCTCCTCGACGATCCTCCTCCAACGTATTGCGCGCCCCTGCGTCCTCAGGTTCTTACAAGCCATGGCCATCAGGACGATCCACGCGCACTGGCGCCGCGAGGAGGTTCACTGCGTGTCGAGGCAAGATACTCAGGACAGATGATGAGACGTATTATGAGGGAGATGAGGGAGCTAAAGGAGAGATGAGGGAGATGCCCGTCCTTTCTTCTCGCGGGTCATCTGAAATCGGTGATCGAGATGCCGAGGATCACTCCGACCTCGGCATCCCGACCAAGAGCGAGTTCGGCCTCGAGGGCGGAGAACGGAGGAGGAGGAGGAGACGGATGAGAAGGAGGATGATCAGGAGGAGGAAGCGGCGGAGGAGGAGGAGGAGGATGAAGAGGAACCAGTATCAGCAGCAAGAGCACGGTGACCACGAGGAGGAGGAGGAGGAGGAGGAGGAGGAGGAGGAGGAGGGGAGGTAAACGGCAGGAGCAAGGTGATAACGAAGGGGCGGAAGAGGAGGCGGGGCGGAGGAGGCTCGAACCTTCACACCTTCGGCCAGGACGATGCGTGCTCGCAGCTTCCGTACCCCAATGACAGGGACGACGAGAACGAGATCACGCAGGAGAGCCTGAAGGCTATGTTGGCGAAGGTGCCAGGGGGGGGAGGAGTGCTAAGGTCTTGATTGTTCCGAGCCCCTGGGGAACCTGGGGTGTAGATTCGGACGTCGGAGGGAACGGATCCGAGGGGGGGATGGTTGGGGGAAAGGATCGATGGAGGAGGAATGGGAGGACAACTGAGGGGCGAGGCTTAGGAAGCGAGAGCAGCAAGCCAGGTGCAGGCGAGGCTCGAGCACGACCGTGACGATGATGATGATCTCGAGCCCGCAGACCGTGATGATGATGAAGTCGAGCAGCCAACGCCGCCCCATCCAGACGATCGTGATGATGATGAAGTCGAGCAGCTTGCGCCCCATCCAGAAGATCGTGCTGGTGATGATGAAGTCGAGCAGCGTGCGCCGCACCATCGTGATGATGAGGATGAAGTCGAGCAGCGTGCGCCGCCCCATCCAGAAGATCAGATGGCGATGATGAAGTCGAGCAGCCCGCGCCGCCCCGCCTGCCTCCAGAAGATCAAGATCCCATTCATCCGGTCGCTCCTCGGCCTGAAGAAGCGGACACTCGGGATTCCGAAGAGAGAAACAGGAGGAGGAGGATGAGGAGGAGGAGGAGCACACTAGAGGAGGAGGAGGAGGAGGAGGAGGAGGCGGAGGAGGAGGAGGAGGAGGGGGAGGGGTATACTAGGAGGAGCAGGGGGACGACAAGTAACAGGAGGAATCAACGGAGGAGGAGGAGGAGGAGGAGGAGGTGTAGAAGGAGAAGGAGGAGGAGGAAGCAGACGAGGAGGAGGAGGAGGAGGAGGAGGAAGATCTACACAGGGATAGGGGTGATCGAAGTTTTCCCAGCTGACTTCTAATTCAGCGTCAATCGAGGAATCGATGAATCGATCAATACGTCGATCCATTGAGGATGATATCGATCCAAGGATCTTGGGCCCATTGGTCGATGGGTCGACCCATCGATCGATGGGCCCATCAATCGGTGGGTGGGCGGATCGGGTCGATCGATCGGTCGACGCGGCCCTAGGACGGCGGCGCAGAGGAGAAAGTTCGTGCAGCGGGACGGCGGCGCCGCCGTGCGCCCGACGGCGGCGCAGAAGTTCGAGCGCCTCAAGGTCGTCAAGGAGGAGCAGCTCTTCCTGCCAGTGGTGAAGCGGCCTGCGCAGGCCAGTGGATGAATGCGCAGGCGAAGCAGATGGCGCAGATGCGAAGCAGATGGCGCAGCGAAGCAGATGGCGCAGGCGAAGCAGATGGCGCAGGCGCGGCAGGCAGCGGCGCAGCATGCGAAGCAGATGCGAAGCAGATGGCGAAGCAGATGGCGCAGGTGAAGCAGATGGCGGCGCAGGCGAAGCAGATGGCGCAGGCGAAGCAGATGGCGCAGGCGAAGCAGATGGCGCAGGTGAAGCAGATGGCGCAGGTGAAGCAGATGGCCAAGGCGAAGCAGATGGCGCAGGCGAAGCAGGCCCAGGCGAAGATGGCGACAATGAAACGGCCTGCTGCCTCGCCGCTGAAGCGGCCTGCAGCCGCGGTGCCGCGGCTGATCTAACTGCTCCGTCGTCGTCCTCCTCCTCCTTCTCCTCATCCTTCTCCTCCTCCTCCCCCTCCTCCTCATCGATCCTCCTCGATGGTCAGCTTTGACGTCCGAGCGGGCGCGGGGGTGCCAATCCTATACCGTTCGCGGCTGTTCCCTTCATGCCTTGAGCGAGGGGAAGAATCAAGAACAACGTAAACTTGGCATACCTCCCTGCGCAGCCCCCTCCCTCGAGCTCCCGCTCCTCCAATATCTTGTTCGTTCCGTCTCGAGGTGCAGAGCGTGGCCGCGGAGGTCGAGGAGCTCGGCGAGGAGAACGGCGACGCCGAGGGGGACGAGGGCGGCGCGGAGGCGATCGTCGACGAGGGCGGCGCGGAGGCGGTCGACGCTGAGGAGCCCGAGGACGGCGCGGAGGCGATCGTCGAGGACGGCGCGGAGGCGATCGCCGAGGACGGCGCGGAGATGATCGTCGACGCCGAGGAGCCCGAGGACGGCGCGGAGGCGATCGTCGCCGTCGACGGCGCGGAGGCGATCGACGCCAAGCCCGAGGACGGCGTGGGGGCGGTCGACGGCGCGGAGGCCATCGACGTCGAGGATTCCGCGCATGACGCAGGCGAACTGACATGATTGACGATGAAATGGGGATGAGAGCCGAGGAGATCGAGGAGATGGAGGATATCGAGGGTCGACGTACATCGAGGGATGAGGGCCAAGACGAAGCAGGTGGATGAGCATGATAATGAACAGGAGGAACGACGAAGGGAGGAGGACGGATGGCACAGGAAAGGGGAGGGGGGAGAGGAGCATGGAGGAACAAAACGAGGACGTGGAGGGCAATCGAGACTCGAGGATTCGAGGATCGACGGTGGGGAGGGAGAATACAGAACATGCGCTCACAGCACAGGCGAGCCTGTGCTCTACTCTGGGCCCTTCACTTACGAGCCAGAGCTCGGCGTCACGTACTTTGTCAGTTACAGGAGGACTGCCCCCCTCGCGCCCCCCCCTCCTCATCCTACTCCTGATCGTCCTCTTCGAGCCTCCTGCTTGATTCCTCCTCAGACCCTCTCTCCAGCTGGCGCATCCGCTACTCGTCTCCTGCTTCTCGTTCTGCTGCTCCTTCTCCTGGTCCTGCTCGCCCTCGTCTCCTGTATATCGCCTATCCTCCTCGGCATCCTCATCTCCTCCTCCTTCTCCTCATCCTCCTCGTCCTCGTCGTCGTCCTCATCTCTTCCTCCTCGTCCTCCTCCTCCTCCTCCGTCTCCTCCTCCGCCTCCCCCTCCTTGGACCCTGAGCGGTTGATCGGGCGTTCGGGCCGCGGAGGATCCGACATCGGGTCAGATGATAATTTATCTGGCAATCCTCGTCCTCAGACCCTCTCATCCTCCCCCCTCACCTCCTTCCACCTTCTCATCGGGAGGGCGAGCGAGAAGATCGGCTGCGTGTACTACAAGGTAGCAGGCACGAAGGATCCCGCGTTCCAGCTGGTCAGCGTGAAAGACAAGGATTGGACCTCCACCGACCTTGGCGATGCAGCGAGGGCGGACCTGAGCCATCGATGCATGCTGGTCCGACCTGGGTCGGGGAAACCCAAGAGGAACATGGGGAGAAGAGGAGGAGAGGACGGATGATTCTATACATAGACCAAAGAGGAAGATGATTGGATAGGGCGGGGGTGACTCAAGGAGGAAGGGTAAGGGGAGGAGGCAAGGAAGATCTAAGAGGGGCATGCTCGAAGAAGGTCATGGAGAAGGATGTAGATGAGGATGATATGAGGAGCGGGGGTGAGTAGGAACATCGAGGATGAGGCGAAGGGGGATGGGTGGGATGGGGCATAGGCCGAGCAGGATGCGAGGAGAGCACCCCCCCCCTCCCAACGAAAATCAAGACGCCATCCGATGTTAGCGAATGTCCGCTATGATGAGGCCCATACCAGACAGAAGTGGCATCGGATGTCGTCTTGATTTTCCCTCAGATGGTCATGGCGACGGCCCGCGGTCACAAGGCAGTGGACAAGAAGAGGGTGCTCAGGTTCAGGGACAGCGTCGTGGATCAGATCCAGGGTCACACATCGTGAACAACAGGTGGGCTCGTCGTCGTCGCCTCCTCTTCCTCATAATCACCCCTCTCTTCGATCCCACCGCTTCCCCATCCGCCCGCCGTGCCCTCACTCGTCCTAGGTCCTGATCCTCTTCCTCTTCGATCCTCCTCCTCCTCCTCATTCTCCTTGTCATCCTCCTCCTCTCCGTTCTCGTCTTCCTTTTCTTTGGTTCTCCTCGTCCTCCTCCTCATCATCCTCCTCATCCTTGCTCCTCCGTCCCGTCCTCCTTCTCATCCCCCTCCTCCTTCTCCTCCTCCTCCTCCTCCTCATCAGCATCATCATCATCATCAGCATCATCATCGTACTCAGCATCATCATCATCATCATCATCATCAGCAGCAGCAGCATCATCATCGTCCTCAGTACCATCATCATCAGCATCATCAGCATCATCATATCCATCATCATCAGCATCACCATCAGCAGCATCATCGTCATCCTCCTCCCCCTCATCATCCTCCTCCTCATCAGCATCACCTTCATCATCATCGTCATCAGCATCATCATCATCCTCATCATCATCATCCTTGTCATCAGCATCAGCATCATCATCAGCATCATCAGCAGCATCCTCATCATCACCCTCGTCCTCATCATCACCCTCATCATCATCGTCCTCATCATCGTCGTCCTCATCCGCTTCCTCTGCTTTATCATCTCCTTCCTCCTCCTTCTCCTCCTCCTCCTCCTCCTTCTCCTCCTCATCCTCGATCCTTCCATATTTCCCTCCACCTCAGAGGTGGGACATCGTGATCCTGGACGGAGCAGCGGCGGCGGCCCGAGCGGGGCAATGCGTGCATTGCTAGTTTAGGATGCCCCCCCCCCCCCCCAGAGAGGGGCATGCACGGAGCTCTCTAGAGCATTTCGGATTGGGCGCGAGCCAGCTCGCGCGAGAAAGTGACTCACGGTGAGCCTTGGTAAGAGGAGAAGGACACCGTCGATCGAGCGTCCGCACTCCTTCGGCCCCTCGCCCAGTCAGGCAGCCGCGGCCTGCGGCCTGATCGGTCGATCGGGCGGGCGGCCGAAAGAGTGCGGACGTCAGATCGGGCGGGGCCCGCGAGGGGGGGATCTCGATGAGGATGCTCGAGTATTCGCACTTCTTGTGCTGACGTGCCCCCTGTTAGCAACAGACCCAGACATGCGGATTCTCTTGTTTGAGCTGCGCCCGTTTGTAAGCTCGGAAGGTATATTGAAGTCGGAGCCTGTGCATCGTCCCTCAGGGTGCGACAAGCTGAAAGAAGTGAGCAGGTACCCGAGCCTGGCGCCCTTCAGGGCGCAAGCGCAACTTAAGACATTTGGTCAGCATTTCCGATAAATCAACACTTGGTGAAACGAATATGCATGCCCGGGCTCACCGCACCACAGGGTACACACATACCTTAAGGAACGTGCTCTAAGCTCGGGTATGCTGATTCGTTTCCTTGTGAATCCTCCTCTCCCTCCTTCCTCCGCTCCTCGATCGCCCGTGCGGCTGACGCGCGAGCTCGAGAGCGTCATTTTGATCGCCCGAGCGCTGCCGCCCACGGGGCGGTGACGGAGGGGCACGAACAGATCGTGGGCCCGTGGTCGAGCTCCCCGTGCCCATTGCGTGGCTACTCGAACCAAGGCTTGAGCCCAAGTTCGGGTCGCCATGCACCCCCCCCTGGGCCACGTGTGGCCAAGACGGGGGAGCTCGATCTTGCGATCTCGGCTTGGTGGCAAGACGCGGGAAGGGCCCCAGCAGGGCCTAAACCTAACACACACCGACCTAAACGACATAAACACACGCCCCAACTGCGAACCTACACCCAAAAAGCACCCAAATCCTTGAGCCTCCACGCTCACCCGCCTCACCGCGCCCCCCCCCCCCCTCCCCCAGCCAAGGCTTGGATCTACATCAACCCGCGCTACGTCGGCAAGCTCTGGCGGACGACGCAGCGGAGAAGTGCCGTACCCACGCTCCGCGGGGAGTGGGCGGGTCGGTGCGCGTGCTGGGGCGGTCGGGTGGGTTCTGGTGGGCGCTGTGGGTGGGTGGTAGCTGGAATTACGTGGTGGTGGGGCATGCGTGCGTGGTGGGCTGGTGGTGGGAAGCCCTGGGCGATGCTCCATACAGGAGCTCTGATCTACATCAACCCGCACCACGTCGACAAGAGGCGGACGACGCAGCGGCGAAGTGCGTCGGGGGGGGGGCCTTCGCGGCCGTCGCGGAGGGTCAGGGCGTGGCGAGGTGGCGTCTTTCGGTCGGGATGGCGTGCGTGGTGGGCAAGATCGGTCGGGGCGTCCGTCGTGTGTGTTTCATGTGTTTGTCATGTGTTTTCATGTGTTTTCATGCGTTTTCATGTGTTTCATGTGTTTTCATGTGTTTTCATGTGTTTGGTTTTCATGTGTTTTCATGTGTTTTCATGTGTTTTCATGTGTTTTCATGTGTTTTCATGTGTTTTCATATGGTTTCATGTGTTTTCATGTGTTTTCATGTGGTTTCATGTGTTTTCATGTGTTTTCATGTGTTTTCATGTGTTTTCAGGTGTTTTCATGTGTTTTTACGTGTTTTCATGTGTTTTCATGTGTTTTCATGTGTGTCATGTGTTTTCATGTGTTTTCATGTGTTTTCATGTGTTTTCATGTGTTTTCATGTGTTTTCAGGTGTTTTCATGTGTTTTCATGTGTGTGGTTTTCATGTGTTTTCATGTGTTTTCATGTGTTTTCATGTGTTTTCATGTGTCTTCATGTGTCTTCATGTGTTTTCATGTGTTTTCAGGTGTTTTCATGTGTTTTCATGTGTTTTCCTGGGCCCCCCGAGGGCCCGTAGATTTTGCAAACCCCGAGCCCCCGTGCCCCCCTCCCCCCGCGCGGCGTGCGGTGCCCCCGCGCCTGCCCCGCGGTGGCCCCCCTCGATCCGCCCCGTGGCACCGTGGCCCCGCCCCGCCCCCTACCCACGGGCTGCGCCGCGCAGATCGCCTAGGCATGCACCTAGCCCGACCCCCCACCGTCGACCCCGACCCCGACCCCCCCATGGGCCCCTAGGTGCACCTAGCCCGACCCTAGCCCTAAGCTTGTAGATGAATGCCACCAAGCCGAGCTCGGCCCCCCTGATTTCACAGCCGTAGATCTACCTGCGGGACAGGTGACTGCCATGCCGCCCAAGAAAGAGGGGAAAAAAAAGAACGGCAAGGACGGCAAGGCGCCGACGGCGCGTATATAGAATTCCCCACAATTAACGGAGGTGGTCGAGCGCGCCGTCGATCGACCCCCCCCCCCCTTATCGAGCCCTCCGGTGCCGATCGATCCAGGCCGCCAGGGCGTCGGACGCCGCGAAAGCGAAGCGGAAGCTCGACGCTGAACATGAGAATGCGCTGCAACGCCTGCGGGCCGATCTGGGTATAACGATCGATTAACCCGAGGGGTGTGCTGGATCCCGAAATTTGCCCCGCGGGCCCGATCACGGGGCCTATAGGCGGCCCAGGACTGGCCTCAAGGGGCCTCGGGATCCCGTGCGCCCTCGAGGGGCCTG